TCGTGTTCCGGTCTTGTTCTTACTCTCATGGTGGCTATATCTTGAGGTTATCTTGAGATGATTTCGGGGCTTTAGTGTCCCCGCGGCCCGGTCCTCGACCAGGCCTCCACCCCCAGGAAGCAGCCCGTGACAGCTGACTAACTCCCAGGTACCTATTTACTGCTAGGTAACAGGGGCATTTAGGGTGAAAGAAACTTTGCCCATTTGTTTCTGCCTCGTGCGGGAATCGAACCCGCGCCACAGAATTACGAGTCCTGCGCGCTATCCACCAGGCTACGAGGCCCTACAAAGTGAATAGTTCAGTAATTTGAGTATGTATGGTAGGTTCTACTTGTATGTGGATTGCTTTAAGAATTTATAATCTTTGTAATCTGAAAAAATAAAAACACGTTTGACTGCTGTAAAGAACTCTCCGTCGACTTCGGGTTGTTTTTAATGAGAATTTCGGTAGTTAAAAACAGCGCGAAACATTATTGGCAAATGCACTTGAAATATAGTCATAATAATAAAATATAATAAGTCTAATTTGAAGGTAATAATGTGATGGAGAGATGGGTAAATATAGCCTCAAGGGGGAGACGAGGACGAGGCACAGGAAGCGTCACCAGAATGACAAATTAATTATAAGTTAAGTATATAATTTACACCAATGTGTTCAGTACCAAGGTGAGAAATGGTCCCTGTACCGCAGGAAAGTGGCAGGGGGAATGGTCCCTGTACCGCAGGAAAGTGGCAGGGGAAATGGTCCCTGTACCGCAGGAAAGTGGCAGGGGAAATGGTCCCTGTACCGCAGGAAAGTGGCAGGGGAAATGGTCCCTGTACCGCAGGAAAGTGGCAGGGGAAATGGTCCCTGTACCGCAGGAAAGTGGCAGGGGAAATGGTCCCTGTACCGCAGGAAAGTGGCAGGGGGAAAAAAACACGAAACTCTCACAATATTTCTGGTCACTATTATTAGCCAAGTTTCCCCTCCTCTACTGTTGATCAATACCGTCTTGGTGCAACCCGTTCTCGCACTTTCTTACAGTCAATATTGACTTATTAAATAAGTGCATATGTGACATACTAATTTATTGTGAATATTTTAGTTTACCTTGAAAAGCTTCATAGAAAACACCGACCTTACATAACCTTCTTAGTATATTAAGATAAGCATCTTATTGCTTCGAAATTACAATTATTACTTAACCTATACCTATAATAGGTTAAGTAATAATTGTAATTTCGAAGCAATAAGATGCTTATCTTAACATACTAAGAAGTTTAGGTAAGGTCGGTGTTTTCTATGAAGCTTTTCAAGGTAAACTAGTATATTTAGTATGTCACATGCACGTATTTAATAAGTCAATATTGACTGTAAGAAAGTGCGAGAACGGGTTGCTTGATGTTGTGGCTCTCACTACCAACGAGCTGCGTTGTTTAAAGGGAATTCGGAGTAGCTTGAGTGCTCAGACCCGAAGTGTTGTCAGCACTTCAATCATCAATCAGCGGACAGCACGTTGGACTGTGATCCTGTGGTCCTGGGTTCGATCCCGGGCGCCGGCGAGAAACAATGGGCAGAGTTTCTTTCACCCTATGCCCCTGTTACCTAGCAGTAAATAGGTACCTGGGTGTTAGTCAGCTGTCACGGGCTGCTTCCTGGGGGTGGAGGCCTGGTCGAGGACCGGGCCGCGGGGACACTGAAAGCCCCGAAATCATCTCAAGATAACCTCAAGATAACAAGATCCTCATTAACTTAGACCAAATGCTTCTTATTCCAGCACTAAAAAAATGTAAAATACACTTTGCATGCAACTTAGGAATGATAACGTGCGGAGTGTTTCCGAACACTGCTTCTTCATCTTCTTGTGTTCGAATCTTGCTACTGTAACTGCTTAATCCACGTACTGCAAATATGAATAAATATCTACAGCGCTTACCCATGTAAACAATTCTAATATATAACATTAATTTATACATGAGAAAATGCCTATTTTGAGTGCGAAGTGAGTTAATTGATGAGTTAATTGATGAGTTAATTGATGAGTTTGTTTTTGGGGTCGAGTGCCGCATGGCTGAGCCGAGCCATGAGCCGTGTAACGCACTCGAACAACGCACTCAAGCAACACACTCGTCCAACGCACTCAAGCAAAACACTCGCGCAACGCACTCAAGCAACACTCAAGCAACGTACGTGCAACGCACTCAAGCAACACTCAAGCAGCACACTCGTCCAACGCACTCAAGCAAAACACTCGCGCAACGCACTCAAGCAACACTCGTACAACGCACTCAAGCAAAACACTCGCGCAACGCACTCAAACAACACTCGTACAACGCACTCAAGCAATACACTCGTGCAACGCACTCAAGCAACACACACACAAACACACACACACACACACACACACACACACACACACACACACACACACACACACACACACACACACACACACACAACGTCAGAGTCAGGACGGAGCCAATTCACCCTCACACTCGAAGGCTGACTCCTCGCCCTCCACCCTCAAGCCGCCCGCCCGCCCGCCGCCCGCCCGCCGCCCACAGTGTGGCGAGGGCGGCCGAGGGCGGGCGAGGGCGGGCAAGAGCCATAACCTACAGGAGAATATCGCTGACAGCCCAACACAGCCAGACCTCAGTTACCCTTGCCGGATGTTAAGCGAGGGAGCGGCGCTCGGGCGCTTAACGAGGCCGTATCTAACGCTCAAACAAAGAACTTAACGAATGCAAAATTCCGTCGTGAGTAACGATTATGGTCCCCCGGAGGCAGCCAAAGTGAAACGCGTTAACCCTGCGTTGAACACTGGTATTCAACGAAGATTAATACATTATCTAACCTTTATTTAAGATAATTCTTAAACTTCAAAGACGTATTTCAAGTTTAACGAAGGTATAATAATAGATAATAATTATCCCAAGTTAAACGACGCAAATCTTACGTTTAAAGAGGATTAGTGGAAATTTATTGACAAAGATTTATTATACAATAAAGTCACTGAGCTTAGAAACTCTTGTATCCACCCTTACCCCTAGAACGACCTAGGCAAGAGACTATACTATCCACTATATACTTTACTATATATCCTATACTTTGCTATACACTATATACGAAGACACCCATCCAGGGGCCACTAAATCATCGAGGATTACTGGTAATTCATCCACATCTTGCTTAACGACTATGATGAGGCTACAGTGACCAGTGTGTGTTTAACGATGCTCTCAGCAGTGAAGATAAGGAGAGAAGAGAGAAGATATAGAAAGGGGTGAGAGGCCAAGGGAAGAAAGGTAGGGGTAGGGGAGATGTAGAAGCGGTGAGAGACGAAGGGGAGAAAGGTAGGGGTAGGGGAGATGTAGAAGGGGTGATAGGTAGGAGAAGGGAGGGGGGCTGAGGGGGCTAATTGGCAGCTCAGGGGAGCTTCAAGGAAAAAGACGAATGGCCAACTTTATGGGTAAAGATTTAGATGATGATAAAGGTACTTAGGCGTGTGGGGAGTGGAGGTGGAGGCTGCTTGTAGGTGGGGGGCTGCTTGTAGGTGGGGGGGGCTGCTTGTAGGTGGTGGGCTGCTTATAGGTGGGGCTGCTTATATGTGGGGGGCTGCTTATATGTGGGGGGCTGCTTATATGTGGGGGGCTGCTTGTAGGTGGGGGGCTGCTTGTAGGTGGGGGGCTGCTTGTAAGTGGGGGGCTGCTTGTAGGTGGGGGGCCTGCTTGTAGGTGGGGGGGGGCTGCTTGTAGGTGGGGGGCTGCTTGTAGGTGGGGGGGCTGCTTGTAGGTGGGGGCTACTTGTAGGTGGGGGCTACTTGTAGGTGGGGGGCTGCTTGTAGGTGGGGGCAATATGTACACTATTTATGTCTAGTCTGTTTTCGTTGTTCGTGCAATTAAAATTCTTATTATAAAAATATTAACTTTGTGGATAACAACTATGCATTTTTGGTCATCCAATACATAACAGTTAAGGATATTATTTTACGATGCAGGTATACTATTGTTTGCTGAGGAGTAATTGCTGTTTAAATATGAAAGCTTCCGTTGTGTTATCATTAACGACTGGGATATTAATGCTCTGAAATCTAAATTATTCTATTATTGTTCATAAATCAATCTATTATATAATGATTTTGTGCGACTTGTCCTCCTCACGCGAGGCATTGTTTGGTCCACGTTAGTCTCCCCTGCGTCGAGGAGAGGAGCACTGCCACGTTTTCTGTGATCCAGGTCCAGACACCACCACCACCACCACCACCACCACCAACACCACCACCCACCCACTACCACCACCACCCACTACCACCACCACCACCCACCACCACCCACCACCACCACCACCACCACCACCACCACCACCACCACCCACCACCACCACCACCACCACCACCACCACCACCACCACCACCACCACAATCGCCATCCACCACCACTGTAAGCACACTATTGAAACACCTCTACGTGTCATAAATATAACCAGTCTAAACGCTCAAGAGGTTTTTGATGTCTGAGTAGCCAACTGAACGAAGAGAAGGGTGAGTAGTGGCGAGGGAGAGAGAGAGAGAGAGAGAGAGAGAGAGAGAGAGAGAGAGAGAGAGAGAGAGAGAGAGAGAGAGAGGAGAGAGAGAGAGAGAGAGAGAGAGAGAGAGAGAGAGGGAGAGAGAGAGAGAGAGAGAGAGAGAGAGAGAGAGAGAGGGAGAGAGAGAGAGAGAGAGAGAGAGAGAGAGAGAGAGAGAGAGAGAGAGAGACACTTTTTTACAAGATAATACACAATTCTAGTTACAGTTGTAGACAAATAGGCTTTAATATTGACTGTGTAAACATATACTGAATCAAAAATCAGATGGGGAGATGAAACATGTAATTCGGTGATGAAGGAAGCTTATTAAGGCACTTGAACCATTGCTGTACTAGAGAGCTTATTGCCCGGGCCCAGGTAATACACTTGACTGATAAGGACGTTCATATGAACGGGTGGTTGAGCTGAACGGAGAGTTATATCAGAAATGTTCTTATCACATGTTGTGGTTTGAAAGCCTGATATGTCTGATATGATGTTCGTCAGCATCAATATGATGTTGGTAAGCATCAATATGATGTTTGTCAGCATCAATATGATGTTTGTCAGCATCAATATGATGTTTGTCAGCATCAATATGATGTTTGTCAGCATCAATATGATGTTTGTCAGCATCAATATGATGTTCGTCAGCATCAATATGATGTTTGTCAGCATCAATATGATGTTTGTCAGGATCAATATGAAGTTTGTCAGCATCAATATGATGTTGGTAAGCATCAATATGATGTTTGTCAGCATCAATATGATGTTCGTCAGCATCAATATGATGTTGGTAAGCATCAATATGATGTTTGTCAGCATCAATATGATGTTCGTCAGCATCAATATGATGTTTGTCAGCATCAATATGATGTTTGTCAGCATCAATATGATGTTTGTCAGCATCAATATGATGTTTGTCAGCATCAATATGATGTTCGTCAGCATCAATATGATGTTCGTCAGCATGAACATGATGTTTGTCAGCATCAATATGATGTTGGTCAGCATCAACATGATGTTTGTTAGGATCAATATGATGTTGGTCAGCATCAATATGATGTTTGTCAGCATCAATATGATGTTTGTCAGGATCAATATGAAGTTTGTCAGCATCAATATGATTGTCAGCATCAATATGATGTTTGTCAGCATCAATATGATGTTTGTCAGCATCAATATGATGTTTGTCAGGATCAATATGATGTTGGTCAGCATCAATATGATGTTTGTCAGCATCAATATGATGTTCGTCAGCATCAATATGATGTTCGTCCGCATCAATATGATGTTTGTCAGCATCAATATGATGTTGGTCAGCATCAATATGATGTTTGTCAGCATCAATATATTTGTCAGCATCAATATGATGTTTGTCAGGATCAATATGATGTTGGTCAGCATCAATATGATGTTTGTCAGCATCAATATGATGTTCGTCAGCATCAATATGATGTTCGTCCGTATCAATATGATGTTCGTCAGCATCAATATGATGTTCGTCAGCATCAATATGATGTTCGTCAGCATCAATATGATGTTGATCAGCATCAATATGATGTTTGTCAGCATCAATATGATGTTTGTCAGCATCAATATGATGTTTGTCAGCATCAACATGATGTTTGTCAGCATCAATATGATGTTCGTCAGCATCAATATGATGTTTGTCAGCATCAACATCAGGTAAGAGCATAGAGGTAGACAT